TTTAAAAAAAATTAGGACCCCCCTAGCATGGCGATGACCTATGGTCCTCGCATTGCTCACTCCTCTGCTAATTAAAATTTCAGCTGAAAATTAAATTATCCAATCTCATCCCTGGATTAGGGAGTAATGCAACTGGTTATTCTTGGGCATATTTCTGACATGATACAGAGCACTAAACCATTCACATTCTTGTGAAGTACTATGCCCTTCTGTTGCATTTAGTTTCTTTAATTATAGTCCAAACCCAGGTTTTAAACACCAGCTGAAGGTGTATGAGAGCTGTGGTTGTCATATGGATGAAGATTGTATGGAGTTCAGAAAGCTCAGACTTAGCAAGCTGTCTCCGATCATGCAGGAGCCAGGTAAGTACTTCCACGAGATATTGACTCATCCTATTAGAAATCTAATCACGTTTAGTTTAGTGCGTTTAGTTTTGTGTGTATGTGTATGTACGTTTATCCACTTAGCTAATGAGTTTGTAATATTTTCATTTTGGCCATAAATACTGACAGATGTTTGTAAATTTTCTGTGTTTTAGAATTAATTGTAACTGAGTGAATTGAAGAGAGAGGTGCTATATTCATCAGCTGACTGACAGTTTGGAACATTTTAAAAACAAAAATGAAAGTGTAGTATATGGAGCAACAGGGGTAGAAATGAACTTTTAAACACAGGAGTCCAACGGACTCCCTACCCTCATACATGTCATAAAGAGGGAGTCCGCAGCAAAATGAGGGAGTCCACAGTCTGAAGTTTAAAATTTAAGATATTAACAATAACGCATGTGCTTATTTTTAAGATTCATGCGGTTGCACGTCTGCCAAATTTTCTTTGGACTTTTACTGAAAAAATACGGTAATTCCGCGAGGCCGTGCTCTGGAACGAACTGGTTAGAATGGCAGAATTTTCATGGAGTCACACGGACTCCTGCATATGTAAAATCAGGGAGTCCGACAGTAAATCAGGGAGTATTTGACTCCGGACTCCCGTTAATTTCGCACCCTGGAGCAATATAATGATACTATATACAACTATACATGTAGCAACCACTGTTTAACCATAGACTTCTTATCAGACAATCATGATTCCTGATGATGTTTCTGGCCTAGACAGCAATATTTTTTAAGCTGTGCTATGCCTTTTGTAAATGAACTCCTCCTATTTTTATAGGAGACAAGATTCTGCCTGAAAGCGTGTTGGCGATTGACCCGATAAATAAGTCCGGAAGAGATGTCTGTCTCTATAAGTGCAAAAAGTGCAGGTAATAAAAGTGGAAGTGCAGTTACAAAAAGGAAGATTCTGTAGACAGATAAAGTACTGAATGTTACATTTTGTTTATATATTGGGTAATATTGTCAGGGTAGATAACATACATAAAAGATTGACTCAACTTGTGTTCATTTCATGTTTACATTCTTCACGTTTTTTTTTTACTTAATAATGTGGTATTCAGTTAGGAGTATAGTGCTGCTCTTTTACATTTAGATACGTATAATGTGAACATGAATGCCACAATGCATCAATTTACATACCCCATGTTACAGGCGCTCTCTGTTTTGTGAGAGTAGTATCATCTCGCACTTCCGTGGGTATTGGGCACCAGTGCCCGATTGGAAGCTGAAGCTTAGACTGGTGAAGATGCCAGCAGAGTCAGCAGAGCCAGCAACTGAGGGCAAGGAATGTCTGGACTCCATCCATGTGGAGCCAGTTCAATGGATGGCAGATGTTATCCTATCCCCTGTTGGGAAGGTGAGAGTACGATAGAACATCCAGTTGATATGTCATTGTTTATTTAAATTTTGAGTATGATCCTGGTGTTGGGTTAGGTTAGTTTTATGCAAGTGGTTTTCTTCATAAATTGTATAAGATGTTTGGCATGCATAGTAATCCCTGATGGATATTGGTTATCTGGTGGTATATTGAATAGTTTTATGTGTTTTGTAACCTTACGCTTGATTTACATTTGTATGTATTACTTATTTAACACAGTATATCCTGTTTTTCAGATACACTGTCCAAAGTGCTCTTTCAAAATTGGCTCCTTCAATTGGGCAGGTGAGTGCCAATTTACTTCTGAAGAGTTGCCTTATTATTAATAATGATTAATTATTACCTGAAGTATACACCTGCCATGTGTAAGTGTCAGTTTTAAATGCAAGCGTATATAAAATTTGTTTGTTCCTAGGTGAACACTGTTCGTGTGGCACGTGGGTGACACCATCTATCTGCATGGACAAGAAAAAGGTGGACAAGTGCCAGCCATTGGTCTCACCTGTAACTACTGCTCAGTCAAAAGAACACACACCATCACAGGACACTCAGTTGCCTACCACTCTGCCAATCGGTGACAAACCATTATCATCCACAACTAGGTCGAAAAATTAGCGTTAGTGTTATCTGACAAGTAAAGCATATGATAGTTCAGCATGTTCACCATGACACCAAACCTTGTACTGTATCAAGCATAATATAATCATGGTTATGATAGGACACGGCAAGAAAGTAAAACAGCTATATAAGTTGAATGGCACCTAAGTGCCAGGATATTTATTCAGCACGTATCTGCAAGTCAATAAATATATTTTGCCTAACAAAATATAGCACAGAGCTGCACAGCGATCATGTGACTTGTGACATTTGCTATCACCTTGTATTGTTATCTATTACTAGCTGGTTTGCACTCAATAATTTCTAACTAATGAGGGATTTTTAGACAGGCAACGTCAGCGCCACAGAGTTTACAAACTACTTTAATTATCAAACAGCACTGATAAATCATCATACGTATGACGCAGGGAATAACATTTTACTGAATTTTCTAGTGCTGTTGATATTTAGTTTCCATTACAAGCTATGCAAATTCTAAATACATAGTATGCCTTTTAACAGCTGGTAGCAGTTGGCATCACATGGTATATTTTCTAGATTAGTGATGTATTATTTAATTTGCATTGCACGTATGTAAAGCAATTGTGTTGTTTTCTATCAAACAAATCTGATATTGAACGTGAGCAAAGCTTGTCATTTATTTACACGTATTATTGTAAGGTCTTAATTGTAAAAATCATATGATTACCTCTCATTCTTTAGGTGCACCACAAACTTGAATTTTATAAGCATGTACATACATGTCGTACACAGCATACTTCTAACATCGTTTTCTGGTAATGTACTATCGTGAGCTTCTACATATTATATCAGGAGTAAATCAAAACGAGTTTTTGTTTTAATTCACTGCTGATTATAAACTAGTATATGTTACCGGTACTACATGGTACATGGTAGACAGAAGTGCATAATCACAAATGTTTCATGGTGCTCCTATAGAAGTGAAATATTATCTGACTAGTTACAGTAGTGTCTAGCTTCAACTATTGGCTAAATTACTGTTTGCTATAGTGTTTGTGATAGAACCTAGGAGTATTAATAAGCAGTAACGATTTTGCATAAGCCTCAATGCCATATATCATTATGACATTTAAATTGAGAATTAATCAGTTACTGTTAAACATATAATTGGCAACTTTTTATGAACCTAACACGTTTGAATAAGGTAGAAGCTGTTCAGATGTTGTGAAAGCCGCAAGGCAACAGGGTAGAATAAGCTAGTCTGTAGCCAAGGCTTTCTGTTTAGAACCTAGCAGTCTAGCCAACCAACTTGGTTTCTTAGCCAGGGTCTTGCTATCATCTGGCATCATCTGCAAATAGAAAAATCATTATTAACCAAATAAAATGGTAAAAATGGGTATTGCTAGGCCTTCCAATTACTATTAGCAGTTGTATTAGATTTACCAAGTGGCTTTCAAGTATTTACGGTTCGTAAAATTGAACATTCGAGGGATAGAGACCTTAACATTGTCACATATATAGCTTCATAACGATGTCTTAAAATATATGAAACAGTCATCAACCCCGCGCTAATATAAATGCACCTCCCCGCTACCACTACCCCATCTGGCATTCTCCCACCGCCTTCTGCCTCAATGTCCAGTTCTGATGGTTTCTTAATCCTTTTAGAGGTAGGTTTTTGCCCAAATACGTAGTGATTTGGGCGAATTAATTCCCAAATGTTACCTAAAAACGGGTAACTTTTATTTAAACTTCTCTAGGGCATTATTTGAGGCTGAAATCATGGTAAAATCATTATGATTATACATGAATACACTGTAAGTCAATACGAGTAGAAAAAGTGCCTTTTCCTACCTTACTTATGATATTGTGGGAAGCATGTCTTGCATAGTCCAACACTATAGTCAAGCATGCTCATCATTTTCACTTTCATTACCCGATTCTGAGTCAGAACCAGGGAAATCATTGGGATCTAGGTCACTACCACTATCTACAACCTCCTCTTCATCATCAGAATCAGATAGAAGTCCCGCAACTTGCTGTATATTGAACGAACAATATAAATATTGCATTTTTCTATTTCGCTATATTCGATTTATCTATTTCGCTTTATCTATATTCGCTATATCTATTTCGATATTCGCATATTGCTATTTCGCACAGAATGACGTGGTGATTTACTGGAGGTCGCCATCTTGAAACAACTTTTTTACTTCCGGGTCTATAAC